GTATTCCTTGGTGAAAACAGCACTGCCTGTTCCGGGTTCGCCGACCAATTGATATTTTTCTTACTTGATTGATTAGCGAACTTAACCACAAAAATTATGACTGATGAACTGTAAACGATGTTGAACAATGAGGTTGTTTACTGCACTGTCCAAGCATGTGACTAGACATAGTGGAGAAAACCATGAAAGCTCTCAGTCAATAGCCCTGTATGGGTCCTCGGACCGAGACTTGAACATCGAACCTCTTGAATATAAAAAAGTGCTGATGACTGCGCCATAAGCTCTGTATTTTCTTGTTGTCTGAAGAATTGTTAGCTTATTTAATAGCGCTTCTTCGAAATTCAGAGTTCTACAGTGGATACTGCAGATGAAACAGCGTCGTTAAATAACTGAAAGAACAGTCAATCTCTATTACGTATAGGAAAGACACTAACTCACTCATGGAGCTGAGCCCTTCTTGAGAAGCCGCCAATTGTGCAGCTACTCAAGAACTTCCAAGCATTTTATGGAACCCGAAGGTTCATTACCGTGTTCACGAGAACCCTCCACTGGTCCCTTTTCTGAGCCAGATCAATCCAATCCATAACATCCCATCCTATCTCTCTAAGATCCATTCTATTACTGTCCACCCACCTACGTCTTGGTCTTTCCACCAATATCTTACATGTATTCCTACTCTCCCCCATTAGCGCTACATGCCCTGCCCATCTCATCCTCCTTGACGTGATCATTCTAATTATACTTGGAGAAGAGTACAAGTTATGAAGCTCCTCATTATGCAGTATTCTCCAACCTCCTGTCACTTCATCCCTCTTCGGTCCAAATATTCTCCTCAACACCCTGTTCTCAAACACCCTCAGTCTATGTTCCTCCCTTAATGTCAGAGACCAAGTTTCACACCCGTACAGAACTGGCAAAATTATAGTTTTGTATTTTCTAATTTTTATGTTTTTGGACAACAGACGAGAAGACAAAAGGTTCTGGGTTGAATGGTAGCAAGCATTACCCGAGTTCAGTCTCTTCTTAATTTCTTCCTGAATCAGGTTTTGATATGTGATTATGTGAAGGACATGAAACGTAAAAAGTGCCGAAACTTCATCTGCAGTTTCATATTGTCCCAAGACAGAAACGACTTGAACATTACAAAATATGTATTCATACGACGAAATGTGCAAGTCCGGTTCAAATAAACCTGTAAAATAACATGTGCTGCTGCGTACTTAGCTGTAAAGCAAAATGTCTCTAACTTCATTGTTCCTTCCTTAAAATAACATGAATACAGGCCCGCAGTTTAACAAACCTTTACGTAACAGATCGAGAAACATTTGTAAATAAATTAACGCCGAAACTTTCCAAGCAATTTACTTGAGAAACTGACAGTCGCTCGGTGGGCCAAGAAATTACACACACTTTATGACACCAGCAAGCGTGTTCACAAGAACTCGTCCCTGGTCCGTATCGTAAGCTAGATTAATCCAGTCCACATCCTCGTACCCTATTTCGTTGACATGCTTTAACAGTAAAACGTAAAGTTGTCCCTGTGCTCAACAAATTAAGCACTACGCCATGAAGACGTATGGGGGAGTGGATGCTTAGACCCACATTTTCTTGACCTGGGCACTAGCTGGAGGTGAGTGGTCAACTTTACGCCCAGGCCGCTTTACCCCCGGGAAAAGAGCCCCCGGTACCTATTGGATAGGAGTAATTATGGGGAAACACATAACAGTACTTCCCCATAAACATACTCGTAGATCGAACTTTCGTTCCACTGGACAGATGTAATAAAGAACTCTCCATAGGGATGCGGTTAACAGCTTCATTTGTTTTAGTTTAGATAATTAAAGCAGATTTCTGACAGTAACGCAATTTTGTAGATCATGTATATTAACGTTTCAAAGAATTGTAATTCCACAATACGGTTTACTTATCACTTTACAGCAGACTTTCCAGACTAGCTATTAAAAACAAAAGTCAGTGGCTTCAAACATACGTCATTCCAATATTTTCCAAACGAAAACGATATTGTAAAAACCGACAGCCATTTGTCAATGCAGACCTTTAAAGCTATCACAAAAACAGGCCTTTCAAATAGATACCACAACCCTGAATAGAATACAATAGTAACCACTGCGACCGAGGTCGGAAGGAGAGGCAGAAACGCGTGCCATGGACTCGGTTGTCCAACACTGCGGAACATACATGCCAAAACTGAATTTTTAATATTTTTCCATGAGTTATCTACACAGAAAGTAAAGTTGTTTGAATATACGTATGTATTAGATATCCCATGGCTGGTGACCTGTATATAAGCCTATCTATATGTATTTCACATGCAAATGAACCCGTTAACTACACGTTTCCATAAGATCTTTAGAATATCCCCCCATCGGACTCCCCTCCCCACCCACCGATTTTAGAATCACATGGATCTCTGAAGATATTTTCATCGGGAACCTTTTAAAACATGTTTAAATCAAGTTTCGATTTTGATTCTGCGCGCGCTCGCAACCTTGAGGAGTGCACATTAAGCTCAGTCCTCTCCGTTTGTATGCATGAATGAACTATAGAACCGATGGACAGATTTTCATAAAATTTGATACTGGAGACTTATACGAAAAAACTGTCCAAATATTTCATTTTTCATTTAATTTTGATACGTTTACAGATGATTTTACATTAAGTTCTACCACAATTTACGTACAAATATTGTTCTTTTTGGACATTATGCATCTCCGGACCGGAGATAGGGACTAGCTCTCTCAATTGGGCCCCAACTGAGTAGGTTTTACCTGAAGACAGAGATAGAATCCATTCTCCGAAACGTTGTTATGAAAAAATATACAGGACGATTTTTAGATAGAGACAGGCCGATGGATAAAATCGAAAAAATAATATTTGTACTACTGTACCATCGTCACAAAGTTTCAGCTCTTATAAGAATCTACGTGCGTATCTAGTTAAATATTCAACGAAGAGAAACATACAGAGCAATGAAAGACACATTCCGTGCATAGTGAACTTCCTCTACAAGTCCTACCATCCTCGAGACAATAAAGCAAACGCGATCCAGCAATCAACTATGGCCTCCAGAACACAGGCTCTATTACGCAAAGCAGTAGAAGTCTTTACTGAGTATCTATGGCTCTACAGCCCTTTATTGAACCTTGGTCGCTTTCTTAGCTTCTTGATCTTTTACACAGCTGGTAGGTCTCCTTGGACGGGGGATCTTCCCGTTGCAAGAGCGCTACCTACACAGGACAGCACAAATATAGAATAAACGCACACAGACATCCATGACTCAAGTATGTTTCGAACCCACGATCCAAGTGTTCGAGCGGGCGAAGAGTTCATGCCTTAAACCGCGCGGTCACTGTGATTCGCTTTGTACTGACTACAGATAACGTTAAAATCACATTTGTTTTATTCTTTTAATGTAGTGCTGTTACAGTATGACTCAGAAATGTGCATTAAACCGATTTAATTTTCGTTTAGTGTGTGTAGTGAATAACTTGGAGACTGACGCCTTAATATTGATTCTTTACTCAATTAGTAGGACTGTACAGCTTTGACTTGTCAATAATTTAATAGATGTGATCAGTTAACAGTGAATAAACCCCGTCTGCCGAACGCTTCTGTTAAATGTACACTGAATACTTCTACAATATTGCTACTTCTGCAAGGTATCTTTTTGGTTTATCCTCTTTAAGACGTTGTTCCTTGTTTCTTTAGCTATTAGCTATTCATCGTTGTTTAACTACGTGTCCATCTGCTATATCTTAATGTCTTCTGACTGATTAAAGTGTAAAACCATCCCTGTAAGAGGCCGTTGAGGCCCATAGGGTTGTGAAACGTGAAGGCTCCCACATTCTCCAGGTAACTGGCTCACAGATGGCTGTGAGGCTGTCAGCCTTACGCGCCGGCCGCCCTTCACCCTCCACGAAGATTCCTGGTACTCCTCTCTGTTACAGGCTGAGTCGACCCCAGGCCATAGAGCTGCTGGGAGGATTAGGTCAATTGAAAAAATCCAATGACCTCATCGGGACCCGAACGGGCGCCCTTCCGGCTTGTAGCATAGTGCCTCAAGCAACTACGCTACCACATACCCCCATCTGTCTAGACTCTAGAGGGATTGAAAATAGCCGATGTCCCATCATGGATTTGACACATGCACCTCCTTATATAAGTCAGAAGCTTCGCCTCTTCCGCCACGGGTCTCATGGTACTACCACAGAATTCATCTGAAGTGATGAGGGAACTCATGACAATTCTCAGTCAGAATATCCGGGCTACCGCCCGATATTCGAAAAGAGGACTTCACCACTAAGAGGTACGAGAGTTAGCGGCGTCCGGCAAGAGGATTAAGCATGATCGTGTTAGGAAGGAAGGGGACTGATTAAAAGATTATTTAGCGAGGCTGGTTCATCTACAGCGGTCCAGTTAGAACGGATGATTATCGCTAGTAAGAACCTGGAAATAGGCATTCGTCACAGCCGTCACAGTAGTGTCTGAACAGCCGTGCCCTAGTTGAGGTCTGAACAGATTCATCTCACAAAATACAACTTGAGGGAGTTCTTGCCGTGGCAGGAAGTGGTTTTGGTATATTTCGCATTACTAACTTAGAATGTGTGGACATCTTCATGTCACTTCAAACCTTTCCAAAACAAATTAAATTGTTTGAGGTTTTCACGGCGGTGACTATGAAGAAAGCAGTCTTCTGGGATTTGGCACCGTGTAGATGTGGTGTTAACCGACGTTTCGGAGGAATGTATCGCCTCCTTCTTCAAGGTAGACGGAAAAAATAAGAAAATCCGCAAGCGAAGAGACCGTGAGAACCTGTACAAGGAGATGGAGGCGATATGTTCCTCCGAAATGTCGGTTAACACCACATCTACACGGTGCCACATCCCAGAAGACTGCTTTCTTAAATTAAATTCTCTGAGCAACTAAGTTACTATGCCTTATTGCGCTTTATTACACAATCTAGTCGATGGCTTGCCTACCTTGTGAAGATGTTCCAGCGCCAATATTATTTCGCCAATGTAAAATCTCACTTCATCTTCTGTAAATTTTTCCCGGCGGTAGAGGTGTGTGAAGAGTTCCCCTCCACTCACGTAATCTGAAACAATAATAAAGCGAACTTGTTACAGTGTGGTCTACAAGTACCACAGTGCTTTAACATACGGACCCTCTAAAGGCATTGTAAGTGGTCCATTCGCAACTGCAGTAAAGGGAAGTTTCTATTTTTGCGTTACTAAATATGATGGTACGCCGGTCGCAGTAGCTGTGCGGTCTAAAACATCAACTGAGGCCACACCATAGCTCAAGCGGTTAGTCGCTGGCTTCCCACCGTGGCGGCCCGGGTTCGATCCCGGGGTCTGGTCAAGTGGGATTTGTGGTGGACAAAGTGGCGCTGGGGCGGGTTTTCTCCGAGTACTTCGGTTTCCCCTACCAAATTTCATTCCACCAAATTCTCCATCATCATAATCACCCGGGGCAGGCTACAATAGGCCAATCAGTGGCCGCCGTGCCGAGTGGACCCAGTTGGACTCCACCCCTCACTAAGCGAATTTAAAAAAAAAAAAGGCATGAACTGTCTTCGCTCGCTCGAACGCTGGGGTCGTGGGTTCGAATCCCACTCATGGCATGGATGTTTGGTGTGTGTGTTTATTCTGTGTTTGTGTTGTCCTATCTTTAGGTAGAGGCCTTGCGACGGGCTGATCACCCGTTCAAGGAGTCTTACCGTCTTTGAAAAATGATCACGGAACTGAATAAGAGGCCTGGGCCCTCAACTGGCTGGAAGAGCCAGTGTAAAAAAAAAACATGAATGTACAAGGACTCGTGTCATGTATCCAAATCGGTTACAGTTGCCTTGTTAGGATGGCCCAGGAATGTTCTCACCGTNATTTAAACTAGCCATGGTTCTCCCAATTTTGAATACAATAACTGTATTTATTGTAAATGTATATATCACGTCTCGGTGAAAACTTTGATGTGTTAATGGAATTATTATTGTCGTTGTTTCTTTCTATATACTCGTGTTAACTTGTAGTTGGCCTCTGGGCTGTTAAATTTTTACGGTAATAAACAATAACAGAAATCAATTTTATACAATTTAATTGAATTATCATTATTGCTATACAAATTTCCCCGTGTCTGCATTTTGTTTGCGTATGCCTTGCTTGCGCGTGCTAACTTGGGCTGAGTTAAGACCTAAACAAATCAGAACCGAATTTAATCGAATTATGATATAAATTTCATTGTTTCTGTATGTTTTGCTTGTTTTGCTTACTCGTGCTAACTTGGGCTGTTAAGTTATGACCTAAACAAATCAGAATTGAATTATAATATAAATTGCATTGTTTCTGTATTTTGTTTGTGCCTTTTGCTCGTCTTTCTTTATCGTGCACACTTTGTTACTGACCTTTGGGCCGTTAAGTTTGCATGTAAATAAATAAAAAATCAATTACATAATTTTATGTCTATATGACAATGGTAGGGCAGCTGAACGTAGCTCCTGAAGCACAATACGAAAAACAGAAGGTGCACAAGAATCTATCGATTTATCCGTTTGTCATTTTCCAACTGCAATTCATAACTACAACTTAATTCAATGCTCGTACCAGATGACCTCTTAAATACTTAATAGTTTCTCGCAGATTGAGGTTAAACGTAGAATAGTTAATATGTGAAAAAATCTAATAATTGTTTCTCTTGTTCTTTTATTATATTGTCGCCGTTCTACATCTATGCCCATTAGGCATTTATTCTGTGATGATGTGAATATGAATTAGAATATCATAAACTCAAGTTTTCAACATGACTAATTATAGAAGCATTAAGAGCGTCTCCTTAGGCCTCCATTCAATTGTTCCGTAGGTGTGTATCTTCAGGGATATAGGCCTAACCCTACCTCTTATTAAAACAGTTCAGTATTGCGACATAGTTGGTAAGTCCGTGATGATTACTGAAATCGATAAAATTGAGCTACATTTAAGGTCACGCTTTCGGAAAACGGTTCCATACATTTCTCTTACGAAATAATCTTATGTACCCTGATATGACTTCCATTGCAAGGACACTGATACCGAAACATTTCCTGCGTGAGACTGTGCGCATAATAGCTAATTCTCCCGCCCCCCTTGACACTACAGCCCCAGTTGGCCTAGGCCTACCTCCATGAACTTCTCCGTTCACTTCGGTTTTTCTAGATCTTACACATTCGGTAGGACTCCTTGGGTGGGTGATCAGCTCGTAGCAAGGCCTCTACCTGTACACAAACTAAACATCCATGCCCTGAGTGGGAACATAATAGCTAATACTAGCTTTAAATTTCTTACTGAATCACGAAGCGACAGAGACACTCGGCTAGAAACATGCAGGAAACTTTCACCAAATGTAGCGGCTGCGACCTTCTTGTGGTACAGATTCACAGTTGAGTCATTCGAAAGGGCTCCTAATGAAGCAACAGAGATCCCGTTACATTTTCACGGCAGAATGAGAAGACACGCTTGATGGAACTGAGTCTCACACTACAACCCTTGTTACGGCCATATAGCTGAGCTATTGCAAAACAAGAACTATCTGGTAAAGTGTTTCGCAGCTCCATTCACCATGCAGCAGAAAGCTTAAAGAGTTTCGAAGAATGGTACGAAGTCGGACAGCAAAACTACCCAGGAATCAACCTTCCTTACTTCCCTGTTAATAAACTTAATTTTCTCCATGATTTATTTAAACCGTCTTGCAGTGCATACACTCAATTATCTCCTCCTCTCCCTCACACTACATGTTTCGGCATAATAATGCCATCTTCAGGTGCTTACTCAATCCACGCCAAACTAGTTCATTGCATGCCTTGTCCTCATATTAAAATAACTAAAATATATATCTATCATATACATTGACAAATGTCAAACGTTAAAAATATTAAAATTGTTCAGGATAGCACATCGCTACGTCGCACCTCACTACGCCAGTCACGCCCATTCTCCTCTGTTGGAGCACTCCTTCACTATCATGTGTGTGTTGTGCTTTTGTTGTGTCTTGCTCCTGTGACTGCATGTGTTATACTCTCATTTTCTCATTTACGTTCCTACTACATCTTCATCTTATATACAGTTATCCTAATACAAAACAGTTAAGACGTATGACAAACCTGAGAAAAACATTAACTAGGAAATGCTGCATACTATCTGGGCGCTACGCCACTGTCAAATATTCCAGCCGTACAAAGAGATAAACTGTCTTCTTTCTTGTGATTCAGCTAACTACATGACTACGGTAGAAAGGTAAAGTTATCCCTGTAACAGGCCGTGAAGGCCTATAGGGTTGTGAGACGTCGAGGCTGACACATTTTCTATGCAATCGGCTCGCAGATAGCGGTCAAGTTGTCAAGTTGCCGACCGCTCTTTACACCCCAGGGAGACTCCTGTACGCATTTATATTAGAAGTTGAGTCGACCCCAGGACCATAGTGCGGCTTGAAGGATTAGGTAAATTGAAGAAATCCAATAACCTCATCAGAAATCAAACCCGCGACCTTCCGATTAGTAGCATAGCGTCTACGCTACCGCGTGCCCTTACTAAATCATTAAATTAATTAATTAATTCCGGCTGTCCCCGCCCTTTCTGGAACCCCGTGTGTATAAAATCCTGGCACTGGACCCTATCTTGAGTCAGTTGTAATCAGGCCACACCCTTAAACCCTACTCCTTTATGATCCTCTTTAAAATTAGCCTCCCATCTACACCTAGGTCTCACAAGTGATCCCTTCTCTTCAGGTTTCCCGAATCAAAATTTTGCATGACGACTGCATCTCCCAGACGGGTGCTACAGGTCTAGTCCAAGTCACACTCCATTATTTTAACACCGCAATAATATGTGATTTGGGTCGAGGGATAGCAATTCCTCGTCGTAAGAAACAGCATTTTACATTTTACAACATTCTACATAAGGCCTCTGACTTGAATGCGTTCTCTGGAACGATCTAAACATTGAAACGGACATGGAATTAGGAACTTTGAAAATTAGAAGTCGCTGAAGGTTATGTTCAAGCGTAGTTCGGAGAACAAGTCGTGACGAGGGACTGGACTCATCTGTCCCAGGATAAGAACCAATGGTGGCTTCTCTGCACAGGGTAATTAACCTTCAAGTTCCATAAAAGGCAGGGACTTTCTCGGACAGCTGAAGTAGTATTAGATTCTCAAGACGATCTCTGCTCCACGGAGTTAGTAATACCGCTGAGTGAAGACTACCATAACCGCCTCTGTGGTCTAATGGTCAGAGTTCCTGGCTACAGATCCAGAGGCCCCGGGTTTAGTTCCCGGCGATACCAGATTTTCTAAGAAGTAGTGGGTCTAGAACGGGGTCCAAACAGCCTCGTGGGGATAACTGAGCAGCTATTTCAAGGAAATACCGGCTCCGCTATACAAAAACCGAAATTAACGGCCGTCGGAATTCTTTGTGCTGACTAAGCGACACCCTCTATCCGCTAAAGTTGGCACTAACTTCGCCAATAAGCGGCGGTCGCTCTGTCGGTATAGTTCGCTTGAGGACTACAGGCCACGGAGTTTGTTTTAAAGACTGCCATAGATTGCAATAAAAAGGGTAAAGCTATCCCTGTAGCAGGCCGTGAAGGCGGGTTGTGAGACGCCAAAGCTCCCACATTTTCTAGACAATCGGGTCAAAGATGGCTGTGATTTTGTCAGCCTTGCGAGCCGGCCACCCTTTAGCCCCAGGAAGATTCCTGGTACACATTTCTGTTAGAGGCTGAGTCGATCCCAGGGCCATAGTGCGGCTGGAAAGATTAGATCAATTGAATAATTCAATGACCTCATTGGCAGTAGTTTATTTTAAATGTTAAAGAAGAGTAAACTCATGAAAATGCAAAAGGAAAGTGCGCTCTCTTATTTTCAAACACTTTCCGGGTTTGTGTACATGAAACGAGGAAACCGATCGGTCGCTTGGCCTTGGCAGAACCTTCCTCTGACAGATGGACCCGTTGTACTTGCATTTAATAGTCTGGAGTAGAACTGGGTCATACATAAGAGGGTCGATCGCGGGCTGTCTGCTGCGACTGCGCCAAACTTTGGCGGGAAATAACACTCTCCCACATCAACGG